CTCACACACACACACATTCACATTCACATTCATATTATATTATTATTACAACGACCGACGACCAAGACGATAGGGCAACTGGCCAGCAAACTCCATGGGTGGTCTTAACTCTCTTTCTCTCTCTCTCTCCTCTGTCGCCGTTCCTATCCTCCGTATAATATTATTATACACAGCGGTCCACGGTAAGTCTACAAATTAATGCCGCTAATTTAATTGGAATCATGTATATATATATATATTATACAGACGTACAGACATACGGAGTGTGACGTTCAGCGATATTAATGCGGTGTACATATATATATGTATGGAACGGGCTAGTCGCAATGCCGTTTATATTATATTAAAAAATATTATCATCAACGGCGTGTCAGACAATATAAGCATATTATTTTATATTATTATACAGCTCGGCTGTGCCGGTGTGGCGATAGCAACGCGACCCGTTTAGATTGATACGACGACATAGTTATTTATTACCCCTTTTTTTTTTATTTTCCGTAAAAAATATTAGAAAAAAAATTATGTAATCAAACACACACATCGAGTCCTAATCAACTTGCCCGCCATGTCAGGTGCCTCTCTGAAAAATAATAATAATTAAAACGTTTCCGCGTTACCGGTTCGTCGTATCAGGTTGCCGGCCGTTAGTGTGATAATATAATATTATTAGGTATGTTAATCAATTGCCTTTCCGGTTGCGCACACCTAATTTAAACCACAACAACAGTACTATTAAAAATTATATTAATGATATAATAATAATATGGCGAGATTCGAGCTGCTGTAGCCGCCCTTCGGTAGCCGCAACCGTATCGTTTTACCTAAACACTTTATTATATACTGGTTTTACTAGATGATTAATGTTTGTGACTATTTTTTGACACACAGAAATGACCAAAGAGTATGGAAACTGTCGACAAGTCTCAATCCAAGTAGAGATTGATCGATTATTTAAATGAATATATTAGGTATTATCGAGACATATTGTATCGAGATATGAATCGATATTATATTATTATGATGTGTGCATATATTTGGTATCGACCATGTTGTTACATTTTGCGGTTGTCTCAGAGCTTCGGTGAATTTAACTAAAAAAAAATCCCAATTTCCAAACTCAAGCCTAACGAGTAATAACGTAATCAATAGACAAACCCGTTTGGATAATATTGTTATCGGTATTGAACCACTGGAATTTTACCAGTCTGTTATAGCCGCCGTTTGTAGTTTAGGAGTTTTTTTTTAAATAAAAGTAATGGCTTTAATTGTATTTGTTTACAATCCAAAGAAAATAGTTTAGGCGATATTTTAAAAATGTCGCCACCCCTTTTGTTGCTATCCAAGCATTAGATCCCAGATCGGTAGATCCTAAACTTGTTCCTTCCAACTCAGTTTTTCCTTCCTTAAAACGTCAACCGTCTTCTAACACGAAGCCTATAGGCGAATATATATGTGTATAATATTATGTGCTTATAACGCTTTTTACCAAACCTAAAAAAAAATTGTAAGAAACAACTAACAAGTTATACTTTCTAAGTGTTGTGTGGGATAAGACTGAGAAGAAGATCAAGTTAACTATTAATTATTATTGTTTTTAAATAATTAATTCCACAACAATTCATAGTTGAAAATTAATATATACCCAAAAAGCTACGACCAGTAATGTTCAAAAGTAAAAAGTTAAAAAGTCAAGTTAGTATTAGCTTAGTAACTCTACCAATTTTTTTTTTAAGTCATAATCGACTCAATCGGTAGTTCAACTTGTTGGAATCTGTGGTTTGGAATTACAGCTGTATCTAATTATTGTTACAAAAATGAATGATAAATTTGAGTTGTGTACGTTTTTTTCCCCTCTTGATTTTATAGTGTAAGTCAATATTAGCTTTTACCGAACTTAACTATGTGAACTAAATGCGCGACGTTATTTTTTTACCTTGTAAGTCGATCAAAAACGGATGTCGTAGTGGGCTAGTTGAGCATACATGTTAGGTATAGTAATAATTATAATAGTATATACATTATATGAATACTATAGATCGGACCGATTCGCGTGCTAGTGCCGAAGAAACAGTAATTATATTCATCATGTCCCTAAGACATTATATAGGCAAATGTGTAGACGAGCTATGCTATATATGTATACACGTTATAACGTGGTACCTAATGACGGTCACGTCATCGATGATTTTAATTGTACATAATTATAAGGGCGAGTATTATTGCATACCTATAAGGTATAAACACGACCATTACAATAATTATAATATTAATACCTGACCTATTAGCCACACACCGCGAGCCCAATTGGCATGAGGAACTAAATAAAAAAAAACATATTAAAAAATTTCAACGAATATCTCAAATATAGGTAGAAAAGTAGTAACAACTCTTTCGGTATTACTATTATTTTAATTAGGTTCGATATTAGCCGTACACCAAGTACTTAAGTTGTGTGCCATAAAATATAGCATAATAGATTAAAAAAAAAATGATAATATCCATCATATTTTTTATACATGTATAGGTCGTTCTTGAATGTCGTCACAAAAACACAAAGAGTCGCATAAAAAATATATTCATTTTGCTAATAGTAATAATTATTATGTATTGTTTATTTTGTTCATAATACTTATTTTGTTGTTTTTTTTTGTTTGTTATTAAAATACAGGAAGAAGTAAGTACCTGCACAAGCCAAACATAAATATACTACCAGACAGCCTCTACCTACATGTTATATATTTACAATATATTATAAAATATAGTACATATATCAATTTGACTTGCGCCACGATGAAAGTGAGATCCAAACAGTTATTATTATTTATTAATTTTTGTTTTATATGTAGAAGTAAATTATTTTTTACCGAGTATCACGGGCGGGAAAGATTTACGGGGTATAAAATATTATATAGCTGTTGTTTTAGTCAAATCCTGCAGAAGTTATGCAGTCAGGCGTTTGCCTAAGAGTTCTAAAGACGAAAAATAAATATTTCTCATAATTTGTTTTAGCTGTCAGTCATCACTATTTATTCTAAAAAAAAATTAGGAGGTGATATCTGCATAGAAGGAATTTACAAGTGTATTTTAATTTTGATACGCCAAGACGTTCCCTACTGACTTTGATACAGTTTTTGGCAGATAAATCTTGTCCAACGATAGGTCTTTATTCGAAAATGACCGGCTCTTATAGTGGGTGTATCACCCTGTGTACATTGTTGTTTTGTAAGTTCTTACGGGTAAAACAAAGACAAATTTCGATTAATTATACCGCAAGTATAATATTAATGAGCAATAATAACAATATATGCAACCGACCGTGGTGCTGCCAGAGGTCAATGGGACAGGTTGTAATTCGATAACCACAATATTATGTAAATCACATGTTAAATGTTATTGGGGATGTTTGCCCATCATTTGCATTTTAGTGGACTAAGATAATCGTTTCCTTCATATACCTAATATTATTATAATATGCGATTGAAAGCGACCCCCGGGCGTTGTACCTATTAGGTATATTATATTGCTATAACCGGATCGACCGGCACCAGTGTGTGCAATAGTCATCTATATAATTTTCTTATAGGTACAGTTCTAATGTTATATTTAATAATAATAGAGCGGACCCCGGACGTGGACTGCCCCGTGGCATAGATTTTGCATATTACGTGACTTTACAGGGTGATCGATTTCACCAAAACAGTAGCGAACCGACAAATTCACAAATTTGGAAAAGATATAGGACCCCCCTTCAAAAAAAAATTCAGGTATTATGTTATGACCCAGCCAATGTTTGGCATTTGAGTTGGTGTTAACGCTATACTTGGAGAAACTTAACTAAAAGCTGGTTTTGTTGTCCAGCTTCGATTGATTTTCCAACCATTTAACAGCTGATTATTATATTTTTCTACTAATATCTCATTCGAGTGTTGGAGTTTTTGTTTTTTACGAGGTCTCAATGTTTTATAGGTAATATTATACATATTACTATAATAATATATTTTACATAATACACTATGTATATTAGACATAGTGGCAGAGAAAAAAATGTTTAAATATTAAGACCAATAAAAATGCTTATGTTGGTAATGTAAAATATAACTTGATATCTGTGCTTCCATAATGATACTATGCCAAGTCAAAACATCACAGAAGATGTATTCGTTTTTGTTTTTTACTTTTTAACACATTAAATTAAGATTTGCCCAATCAAAGACCTTAATAGGTATAACGTGACTCAATCAAAGATGATTCACTGATTTCCTCTTAAAACAATCACAGTTTTTTATTTTGAAAACATTTTTATGAAGCGTCATTTTAAAATTCCAAAACATTTATCTTTTTTACTACTTTTCACGGCTCTATAGAATTTCCAAACTTAAATGGTATTTAATTCACTTTTTAACAATTTTCTCACAATTTTGATTGGTCGGTTAGCAGTTTTTAATAATTACTTTGAAAGTTATTTAAGATTAAAATTTAGGACTAGAGCTCAAGTAATATTCGCAGATAAAAATATTATTACATTCTGCCGCTCTTCCCTTCCTAAACTTAAAACACTATTAACATTAAAAGTAATTAACTTTTTCAGCAAATTAATCTGAACCTTAAACGTCGATTAAAAAAAATTTCATACACACGTTACCGTTTAGGTTTCAAAAGTTGAAACAACCAAATAAGATGAAATTTTAGGTGTTTCATATTTTTGTAAATCAACGTATTGTTTAAAAAATCAACTGCAATTATTTTTGTAGAAGTTGTGTGGGTCGCTAAAATTTGATCACACTGAGGATGTCCCCTTCCGTTTTTTTTTAGTAATTACAATATATTTTTGGATCTTTCACCCTTTGCCTAAAAATGGCTGTTAGTTCTGCTTGACTCCTTTGTCCGAAGCGTCCTATACACGGCCCTATCCTTTAATGGTTGTGTGAATGACTATATTATTACTTCAAAGGTGTTGGCAAAGGTATTTCTATGTGTGCGTGTCTGGTGTTGTGCAGGTCCGCGTACCAGAAGGGTGAAGAAGAAGGACAAACAGCAGCAGGACGAGAAGCGACCGCGGACGGCGTTCAGTGGCGACCAGCTGGCCAGGCTGAAAAAGGAGTTCACCGAGAACAGATACCTGACCGAGCAGCGGCGCCAAGAACTTGCCAACGAGCTGGGACTTAACGAGGCGCAGATCAAAATTTGGTTCCAGAACAAACGGGCCAAGATCAAAAAAGCCAGCGGCACCAAGAACCCGTTGGCGCTGCAGCTGATGGCCCAGGGACTGTACAACCACAGCACGGTGATGGTTACCAAAGAAGAGGAGGAACAGATGATGGCCCAAGTAAGTAAAATCGCCTTTAAATAAATAGCCTCTTATCGTTTTCCATAAGTTGCACACACACAAAATATCCACTCATATGCATATATTGTGGTTCTATTAATTTCTCTGTTGTAAATTAGGTAGTTGGCCGTTTAAACAGATCCCTGTGGCTCAGTATGGCACAAATTATTTATACATCATGTTAATATTCTGAAATTTTTAATTAGCAATTTTTTTTTAATTTCACTTTCCCTCGACTAACAATTTAAAAAAAAAAACACCTGTATGCTCTAAATTGAGTGTAACTTAATTATTGCGGTGATAACGTCAATAACGTGATAAGACAGGGGCGTTGTAAGATGTAGGTCTCGAACACGAAGAGAACGGATGTCCTGAGCCGTCACGGTTAGGGTGGTCGCGTGTGGGATAGGTAGAAGATAAGATAATGAGAGGCACACGAGCGGTTTGCTTGATGTGACCCACGCCTGCTGTGATACTATTCAAATCAGGCTTTTAAGTTTTACAAAATACACAAAAAACGTTTAGGTTAACGCGGGCAAATATAGTAAATTTTGTAATCAAACACTTACCGAGCTTGTTCTCTTTCGTCTTGTCACCGGTTGGTACTTTGTCTATACCAAACGATTATTGTGTTAAATACAAAACGTGTTTTTTCGCTTTTCCATTCACGGATAAACACATTAGACGTACAAGATCCGCCGTTACTGTACTTATGGTGTAGGCCGATGGTCTGCTAAGGCATCGTTCAATTTACACGGTACGACCGCCTACCACTGTATGTATAGAGGTATACTTAAACTGGTACATATTATTATTGTTTGTGTAGAGCACACGAAATTATTCAAAAATTCCACAGCTGGTAAAATGTCGAAAAACCAATTGGGCAATACTCTAAGTGTATGCTATTTTTTTTGGGAGGTCTGGTGCTCGCTTTGGAAAGACCAAAAATACATTAGAGACGAGTCAGCCAAACGGTTCGAGGAGGATTCAAAGTTAACATATTTTTTTTCCAATTAAAACCTCGAGCCCCCTCAAAATGTGGTCACAAGTATTTCCTCAATTTAACTCTTTACAATTATTGTCATATCAAGAGCCAAAAACAATATCGATAGTGATATCACTTTTATACATAAAAAAAATGTATTGAGCCTCATTCCTTTTTTAGATCCACGCACATTCGCTTAGCTTTATAATTGTTAAATTAAATTAAGCATAAAAAATATTGCATCAAAGTTCACCCTTGACCGACTCCATAAAGACATACGCCGCACTTGCCAATTTTGTCGATTTACTAAGTCGTTTGGTAAAGGTAAACTTTTGTCAAAATCATAATTTAAAAATTAGACTTAGACTCACTCTTATTAATACAGTATAGAGTATACTCTGTGTTTTGGAGTTGGTGGATAATAATAGTTGTTTGCTATCAGACAGTGTCTTCATTATTATTGGGGTCAGCTATTGTCTGTCACTCTTAAGATTCTCTGACCAGTCTTAACATTTTGGTTGTACATAAACTTTTTTTTATAGTTGATTCTATTTTGTGTGTGTCCCTTATTAGATTAGTTGGAGATAGATGCATATTTTTTAGTCAGGTCGGCGCCGAATACTAATTGTAAATGAACATCATATCGTGGACCCGAATTGTGAAATATTCTTAATTGACATCATCTAAAACCAACGATATGTATCAGAATGTTAACTGTATATAATATACGGCTACCAGATTATGGTTAGTTAATGCATACCGCAAGTGAACACACATGTCTTCATGTCTTCTGTCGTTCAATAAGCCGTACTGTGTTTGTATATTGTAATACCGCCCGGAATTAGCTTTAAAATTAGACATGGCCCAGTTAGTATTCTGTGTGCTCTCGGTGGCGTCACCAGATGTTTGTCATGTTCGTCTTACATTTGTATTATAATATTAATAACATGATATAATACTTTACACGTTATTTATCGCCGTCATCGCCGTCCTCGATAAGAACCTATTTCTCCAAGTTCATCGGTATGGACCAAAAGAATAAAAACAATACAGGTTGATTAGGTTATTGGGAACCACTCAATATCTCACTGGGTTTACTTGCGGAGATGGGCTTGGGATTCTAAAAACCTTAAAAATATCTTGAATCTTAAATTTAGTGCTACAATAATTTTACTTCAACAAATCAAAAACATATGTAGGGATATTAAAAAGCACTAAGTTTTATGGTATTTAGTATCTCGAGTCCAAATAGCAACACATGTACTTTTTTTGTTGTATAACTATCAAGAGCTTTTGTATATTTAACATGTGTGTATTTAGTAAATTTGTGCAAAATTGAGATCACATTATATTATGAAAAAAAAAATCAACCTGTAGTATAACACTGATACCCAACCATTAGTTCTCGTTAATATAGTATTATGCTGTTTGCACTAACAAGTTAGATGTTTTTTTTTTTATATTCCAAGGCTTTGACCGGACCAGTGAAACCCTAATTAACCATATTACCTAAAATACACGAGATTAATATTCTTTTAAACTCAGGTTTAGTATAGCGATTTTAATAAGTCATAAAAATACCTACCTCCAAAAAAAAAAATCCACAACAGGGTTTAACCTAAATAGATTTATAATCCATTAGAACCGTTAAAGCTACTAATACCATAGCCAATATATTTTCTATAGTTTTAGTGTATAAAATACTTAGAAAAAGCTATGAACCCTTAAAACGAACAATGGCTAAGGTTTGTTTGTTATTTAGTCGGTTTTTACTAACATGAAGTAGTATACACACTAGTAGTAATTCTTTATGTAGTCTCGAGTTGTGCTCAGCATAACACAATTATGTAAAGTTCTGAAGTCTGAGCGTTTCCTTTATAAGAAAGTTGTTTTATTTGTCTTTATTAAGTTTTTTTCCCCGTTGATTTTCAGGCGATGGAGATTAACGACTGATCGACACCTGCTCAACTCGGATCAAAATCAACCGCACGGTACAGCCGACGAAATCCGTCAGTAACCTAATAAATATATCATTTTTAATATATATATTTTCGTGAAGTCTTGCATATTATATTATAATATCCGTTTAGTAGTATATTATATGGATGACTAAAAAAAAAGAAATACCTACCCCTTTAGTCAACAATAATAATCGAACAAAATGTGTTAGTTTTTTTTTTTATCACTATTTATTTGTACTTAAAGTTTCGCGTGTGTTTGTGTAAACGTTAAACGATAATATTGTAATATATTATGTATGTACAAATTATCGAGAACAAAAAAAAATGTAATAGTTGTATCAATCAAAAACGTTCGAGATTGACATTTTTTATTATTTAATTAGAAAATGTTTTTTTTAAAAAAAAAAACTAGTTCCTTTTGTATTTTTATTTATTCGTGTATCATAATAATGTGTATAATACTTTGTTAAATATATTCGACAATTTTAAAATTAAAAAAAAAAAACCACATTGTTGTTTTCTGGTAGTAAAAGCAGTTGTCCTGATACCCAACAACAGTGCACGCGGTGGGAACAGAAGAAATTTTTGGTAATTAGTATAATATTTAGGTATTACAATAATATGTGAAGTATGTGTGGAGAAATAGGTTTAGGTTGACCGAATCCACTTTTGTGTGGGATAAGACGCAGAAGAGAATAAGTGATTGTTATTAAAATAAAAATGTACAAAAACACTATTAGATACCCGGCTGTATTATTAGATTTATAGAAAAATCAGCAACACAATAACAATACAACAGAACGCAGAAAAAGCCTAACGATTAAAAGTAAGTATATCCACAGCGTGTGTATTAAGTATGTGTCTATAATTATTGTATTAAAAAAAAAATCCATAACCACAATAATAATAAGTATTGTTAGCGTTTGGGCAACAATATTCGTCCGAGTGTCTGTCAATATATACTTTTAATATTAAACTATTTTAACACCAAACGCACTTGAGTACAACACCGGAAGTAATGTTTGTACATCAAACGGTGTATTGTTGAAATCTTCCCGTCAACAAGTCCTTTAATAATAATAATAATAATATATACTTAGGTATATCCTCTGCATATACGTTTGCTAACAGACAAACAGTCGGCGATCGCTTGGAGTGTGGAGAATTATAATGGAGCACTGTTAAAGATTAAACAGTGTTTGCATCATTAAATTCTTTAAAACAAGAAAAAAGTTACACTACAAAAAAATTAATTAAATAAAAACACACCATTGAGGGACAAATGTTCTAAACTATGGCAAGATTATGATTGGAAAAGTGACACTTTTAACATTTTCTAGGAATATATTAAAATTAGTAAGAAGTGTAAATTAAAACACACTTTATATCTAATACATATATATATAAATATATTAAAAAAAAAAAAAATTTAATAGTTTTAGATAAGTTTTGTAAGAATATCCTATGCTGAGTTTTATGAAAAATCAAATTCGTTAAAACTGATTTGTCAAGTTATAAAAAAAATGAAGTTTCTTTCTTTAATTCCATATGTGTAAATATCAGACAGCCAACTAGCAATGTAAAGATAATCTATGTTTTATTGTCTACATTGCCTTTATCTTATTATAAAATAATTAAATGTGTCCTAATTGGAGGTATTACTAATTGAAATATATCATAGAGAAATTGAGTAAATTTGGTTTTTCCTAAATTATAGCCTACAACTACTTTATAGCTGAAATAACATAAAATATAAGCAAATAAAAATATATACCTTCTCGATTTCGCACTAAATATTAAGTACAACAAATTATTTTTTATGTTCAAAAAATCAAGATAGTCCAAAGGGTACTGGTGGACTTTTGCTATTTATTGGTACAATCTTATTTCTCTTATACATATTTGAATCTAAAAAAAAAAAATGTAATAACTTAAACACTGATTTAACACTATTATTATTTGTTTTTCTCGAAAATAAGGAAATTCTAACATTTCGTTTAAAGTTTGTAAATATTGATAAATTCGAATAATTAAAAACATCAGCAATACAATATTTTTATAACTTTCAAAAGTACCTACATATAAACTACTCAAGTTGTAGGCAAAGTGTTAATACGTTTATAATGTAACTTGATATTTTCTTTAGAGTAATAATTGAATTGTCTATAAATAAAAAACAAATTTGCATATTTATACAGTCATATAATATTTTAGTCTAATTAACTAAAATCTTTACAGCTAAAACAAAATATTCACCAGTGGCCAGTGCTGTGTCATTGAATAATAATATGATAAGTTACAATAAATGTTTGAACTCCTCACATATAGAATATCGACCATGTACTATGATGTGTTGTTTATTATAATATTGTCTAATTAGTGTTAAGAGTTAAGACTTAAATGTCATTTTACAATTTAAACGTTTAAATCTACTTTAATTCGTTATATTATTGCTCCGTGTGGTGAGTGTACTTACAGTACGTCTTGGATATAAATATTATGTAGAATTAAACTCCTTGGAATTATTCTAGGCAAAAAGAAACCATCAATATAGTATTAACAAATCCGTGTACTCGTGGATTGAGACTGGTGCAAGCCTCTCTACTCAATTAGATATTTAGGAATAATGTTTAGATAATTATCATATTATTTCATCTCATTGCAATAACTGTGACAACATCTTCATTGGCTGGTACCTATTATTTTGCATTTTTGACAGCCAACAGGTATTTGCCGTTATTATTATTCGGTTAACCGAACCGCGATTGTCTCGATAAGAACGATTATTATTATTTATATTTGAAGTATATTGGCAGGTCTCCAAACAAGTGTCGGCTGTGTAAAAGAAACGTCTAATGTAGTTGTTTTCTTAATAATACTAATAATAATAATAATCTTATATAAGTATTTAAAAACAGAATTATCAATCGAATTACTTGTGTATATTCCTGATGTGATACGCTCTCGTTATTATTAAAATTATTAACAGTTAACTATTATTATAATATAATTAATAATAATCAATTATTATTGCAGCTCGTTATAATATAAGAAAAGTTGTAAGTGGTCTTTGTAAGTAATTATTCCAATAAACTAGTTTGTTTTGGTTGCAGTGTGGTCGTCATTACTTGTATTCTGATTTATATGTTTATGATTTATTTACTGATTTATATACATTAAATATTGTTTTTAGCTTTGATGCGGAGCTGAGAAGGTATTGTTTTTACAATGATGTGTTTTTATACCTCGTAAACCGCTGAACCGATTTCTTCGTGTAGCAACTCTATAGATCAAAAATCATACCTGGAAGGTACTTATTCAGGCCAAAAATTAAAAGAATTCACCCCTTCCCCATCAAAATCGAGAAAAATACCCGAAAAATTTACAAATTTTTCAACTTAAAATTACGATGCTCTATAACTTTTTTAAAAATAGTCGAAAATGTTCCAAATTTTTACGAATTGTTTTTCAAAAATAGTACTGTCGATAAACATTAACAAAGCAAAAAAATATCATAAACCCTTTCCCTTTCCCTTAGAAGGGATAGAATTTTTTTCTTTATTTCTCTTTTTCAAGCAAAATTTTTGAGATTTATATCTGCAAATTAGACCAAATGTAGATCTAAAATGGAACTATAACATGTACAATTTTCTCAAAAATCTGTAGTCAAATTTTTTTTTATTAAGGAAAAACCCCAAAAATAGGGTAAATTTACACTTTGCCCGTAGTCAGTTTCTAAGTTTCTATGTGTGTGTGAATCCACAGTCAACAGGTAATGAAAATATTTTCATTATATTGTTAATTACGACAGTAACTATGACAGTACATTTTTATAGACAGACGATCATCAACCCTTATCGTATCCACCCTCCACAAGACTAAATATTAAATTTTAAGTACATTATTGCTGGTCCCACGATATCTTATAAACCACTATAACTAGTTTGAACATACTATCCACAGATTCGCGTCAAAGCGTTTATTTAAAAGTGATTTTATCATTTCTAGTTATAATAAAATCTATAGACCTGTGACCTCTCCGCCCCCTCTATGACCCGACACCACTGTACTGGCTTTTTTTTTTTTACCTAAATAACTAAAAAACAAAGTTGACTGTTGTATTCGCGAATGCTTACGTGATATATATTATACATATATTTTATTTTTAGTCTACGACCTGTCTATCTGGTCGGTTTGGATAACTCTTGCTCTACAAGTGACAAGAGTTGCAATTAATTTATATTATCAAAAATCTCAGTAGGACGGTATTATATTTCTAATCTTAAGCTTGTCACTCCTAGTACACCCTTCGTAAAATAACCAAGTAAAATTCACATTAAAAAACAATTTTACAAGAGTGCGAATGAAAGAAAAATAAACAAGTCGTAAAACCTTGTACCCATTATTGCTTTCTTAATAATAATAATAATAATATAAATATATTTACACATTTTACGCACACATAGGACCATTGTAGTTTTTCCTAATAAAATAACATTCTATATAGTGCGGTGTGTTTGGGCAAGTTTGTCTATATTATTCTTGTAAATCGTGTTGGTCCAAACCGTTGGTAAGTGTGTGTGTATATCTATGGTTTTTATTGATTATAATAAAACAGCGGTTTAATTAGGCAGCCGAACAATGGAGAATTGTGTATTTTTCATTACCTTGTTGGGCCTTTTATTACGGGTTGCTGCCAGTGATTGTGTGGGTTCTTTTTGTTCCGGTTCGAATGGCAACAGTATGTATTTGAAATGCATAGAAACGCCTTACAACGGGTTTGATTGTCAGACTGTAGTCGGGCCCGACCTGGCCGTTGACGATTATTCTAACGAGGTGGTAGTGGACTTGGAAAACGAAGTCATCAGCGATCTTCTTGTAAGCAGCAGACGTGGCACGAGACTTGTTGTATGATAGGCAGCACAGGATCACCAAAACTAATGTCGATCAATTGGATTTAGGTGTTTCATGTCAGGGAAGTATTGGTTTTCACAGACTCGAACAGCACTTTGGTTCGCTTCTTAAAACCGACTGTGATTGATGAACAACAATACAACCTTGGCCATACATACTCGTACTACAACTACCATCTGAAGGGGGGGGGGGGTTAAACGTAATAATTAATTTTCCAGTGACTTATGGTAAGTACCGGAATGCAGTGTTGTGTTATTTTCATAAATCTCATTTTGCACGTATTGTCCAACACCACTTTTGTATTTTACAGATGAGACAGTGCAAGGACTAAGGTAAGTTTATCACTGGTATTGTAAATTATTTTTTTTTTTGAGATTGAGCCTTTATTTATAATATTT